GAATTGTTGACAAGTGATTGTTTGCTGTTTTTCTCTCCATTTGCGTTAGCGGTGTTTACAATGGAAGAGGACGCAACGGAAGCCTCTCGGTGGACCCTTGAAGCAATCTCTGCATATGTAACCGATGTTCTGGGAGGCTTAGTCTCGACAAGAGATATTTGAGCTACAGGTACCAAGGGTTGGTGTTTGGCTGCTCCATCCTTGTTAATACTAGATGTCAGGTCTAGTGGAATTTGCTTAACCAGACGTTTTGAATGGTGCCTGATTTTCTTTGCTGTGAGTAATGCTTGATTCAAGTAGGTACAGTCTGTTTTCGCCCGGCGTTCCACCAAAGTTGGAGAAGACAACAGAGATGGAGACATGGCTGATTGCGGTGCAGGCGAAGCGATTTGTTCAGCATTCCGTTGCTTAGCAGCCGCTACACTTCTGTGGTCCATACTCGCTCCCATTGGAGTAATCTTATTGTTTATCCTCTGCTCTGCTTCTGCGATTAACCGGTCGCATTTCTCAGGTAGGATAAGCAAGCACTTAACGAGGGGGATGGTGGAACACGCAGTACAGAAACAAAATGCATCTTGGGAGCTATTTTGCTCCCGTAACTGTTGTTGGGACACATTTGCACATTTCGTATGGTACCATTCCAAACAGTGCGAACAAGCTAGACCGATTTTTACTACCCGATGACATTCTCCTAACCCGCAAATGCCTTTCGATGGGAGTCTCTTCGGTTTCGCCTTTCTGCCATTCAATTTGGTGTCGTTACCTGACCCAGTGGGTTGGTTAGCGTTCTGTACTTTTACAGCTTTGAGAGCGGCGCACATCGGTCAGGCGAGCGTGGTGGTTGCAAGGTCAAATGAGCGGTCGGCGTGGTCGCGCGGTCCGTGTGATGGGTAAAGCAGCCGCACTGGCTGACAAGGTCACAAGGAATGGCGAGTGACTGTAACCTGAACAGAGCGCTGAACACAGATTCTTTCACAGCTGTGTTGAGAAACACTGGATCGGAGTAAGCTTAGGCTTTTCGGCCTGCTTCGAGAATTCAGTATCGAATGGTGTCAAACAGAATGGCAATCGACTCAATACGATTGAATTAAACGTTCGCGCTTAATCACAGATGCCAGTGAAAAGG